TTGTATTTATGCATCTATATATAGAAGTGGGAGTGGAGATACATGACCGGAAACATACAATAGTTAAACACAGAAGCAAAGCTGTGATGGGGACAGGGATTTTACTTTGTCCAGTGACGACAGAAATGACATTTCAGTGCCTCAGAGTTTATCTGAAGGTCACACCTCACGCCTCAAACACACCAGCAGGTCAGCGGTCTGACCTTGTATCTGCTGGAGTTTGTCCTCCACTTGTCTCTTCATGTCCTCAGCTTCCATCATGATGTTCTTCAGTCGACCAGCAGCTTGACCCTTGACCTCCTGATTCTGTTGATTTTGCTTTAAAACCTCAAACTGCTTAGTGACATCACTGAGCTCCTGTTGGGCAGAAACAGTGTTCTGATTTTCATCTGAGACTTGAAACTGAAAACAGAGACTCAAAGTTGTGTGGAAAGTTTATCTTAAAGCCTCAAACACATATAAATGTGTCTGTTGGTGTTTTTACCGTGTCTGCATCAGTGGTCATGTTTAAAGCGCTCTCTGCCACCTCTCTGGCTTCTCTCGCTGTCTCTCTGTTCTCTTCAGTTTTGTCCTTCATAGCTTCAATCTCTTTCTGCAGGTCTTTGGTCTGAATCATGAGCCTCTCCTCGATGTTGTCCAGTGTGTCTTCAGCCTGAAACAGAAAACAAACATGAGCACATCAGCATCAGGCTGAACAAACGTCTCAGAGGTCATATGTGAAATATTTTGGATGTTTTACATCTCGGATCCTGTCTTTGGTCTCATCTTTGTTTCTGCTCGCTCTCTCCAAGAGGTTGTTAGCTTTGGCCTGAGCTTTGTCTGCTTCATAAATATCCTGAATGATCTTCTTCACATCAGTGTTCTCCATCTGCTCCCTAAATACAATAAACAAAGATGATTAAGGTTCAGAACACGAAGAGGACAAATATGTGTTCCACATAAACGGTAGTAACCAGACCGAAAAGCAGCGCACATTTCGGTGCTTTTTTTTTCTTGAGATGTCATACACTTTGGATTCTAGCCAATCATTTTACCTTTCCAAGGATAGTAGGCGGGTCCAGGTACGTACGGTCTTTTATTGCAGAGCTACAGATTAAGAATGCCCAAGGCGAAGCAGTCAAAAGTCTGGCTGTACTTCACAGCAAAAGATGCAAACTCAGCAGCCTGCAACAAGTGCTTTAAGCTGATACTGTGATACTGTGCAAAGGAGGTAACA